ACGTGATGACAGGTGAGGGACAATGACAGGTGCGGTAAAGCGACGAGAGGCGGTGCTAGGCAGTGTTTTCGGTGAGGAGATCCGATGACAGGCAATGGCAGTGAGAACAAGCGGTGACAGGTGCGATAACAGTCGTGACAGGTGTGTCCAGAGAGGACATTAAATGACAGATGAGGGCAGTGAGGACAGCTGGTGGTATGCGGCGGCACGTAAGGACAATCGTGAAAGAGCACACCTTCAGCACCAGGGGTGTGACTTTCGACTGACTGTGAGACTGACGGTCAGTGAAACGATGTCAGTCACCGGTAATCTAGGAGGTATGACAAGGAATTGTGCGCGGCAGCTGACTACTGGCAAGTGTTCTCGGGAAACAGCGGTGAAGGACAGCGAAATGCGTGGACTAAGTGTCGAGCATCAGCACAAGGTGCCCAGAAGAGCACTAGAACAGAACAGCTCACTTGAGATACACTCAAATGGTGAGAGCTAGCGGGACATGATACGTCATAAGCAGGCGAATGGCCGCTACATTACAAGCAACTGGCAATGAATATGCATTATATGAACGAGGAAACTGCGAGATCACGAAACCATTCCTGGTGGTTAAATGGGGATTTAAGGTGACCTGACGTGTTAATTTATCATAAGCGAGAACAAAGACGGGAAATGTGTGACGCTTGGCAGTGTTGGGGAAAAACGGTGAATTTCTTTTCTTACATGTAAACCCAGCTATATGTGCTTCTCATTGGACCATAACTTGTGTAGAGCTGTTCACCAAGAAGTATAAATGTGAGGCGAATTTCAGTCAAGGTTCCCTTGAATCATTGATGCTACCCTATTCTGTCCATCTCCCAACCAGGCGTCATAAATATCTAACTTATAGCGTTATCTGCAAACGAGCTTTCCTCATGTTTTGTGTGGTGTTGGGACCCATAACCGCCGCTCCCATCACGTGATGTGTGACATCATGGGTCGGTGCCAGGCGGTGCCGGTCCCCGGTGGGGGGGGGGGCGAAGGGGGGCCGGCCGCTCGTTCCAGCGTGACGGTACCATGTCGTTCATTGCAGCTCTGTGTCATACTGTCATAGCTGTCTGCCCCGTACGCTGTCGCACCGTGTCATATCGTCACGGTGTCATACCGTCACGGTTACGATGTCACACCGTCACAGTTATGGTGTCATACCGTCACGGTTACCGTGTCAGACCGTCAGGGTAGCGGTGTCAGCGTGTCCCGGTGTCAGGGACACGGCATCGATGTGTCACGTGTCAGCGTGTCAGGTGTCACGGCGTCGCGTATCATTATGTCACGAAGCTTCAGACACCTCAGGATGGCTGAGCTCGGCGTGGCTGACTCGCTGCAAGCTCTGGCTTGGAGTTGTGTCGTTTGCGCACCCAAAACTAAGGTGTCTGACGCCCTCACTTGAGATAGCGTATTGCGACGGCCTTTGCTGACCTAGGCATGGGGGCTGAATGGCCGATCTAATACAGCAAAATGCTGAAAAGGTGTGTCATTGGGGTTTGGTAGATACCCATTACAGGGCACTCATTGGGAAGGTGTACTATTCGAAGTTGGCTGTTGTCATAGAAGATACGCCCGAGCTTGCCTGGCTTTCGCGACAGTGCTGGTTTCGGTAGGGGTGGGCAATGATCGATCATATCGGTAAAACTTGAAACATGATCATCTGGCTACGTTTCCTTGACAACGATAACGCAATAATAAAGATAAAACATGCTGGAAGGATGAATCTACGTAGGAATGCATCATGCTAAATACGGTATGCACGAGGCTGTCCAGTCAGCGCTCACACTGCTCTCTGGCACCACCGTTAGGTGAGTCAGAGTGGTGCTATCCAGTCGGCGTTTCCATTCTCCTCCCCGTACCGCCCGGGCCGACGGGAGCGACAGCAGCCGCTACAATCAGACCGGCCGCGACCCGGACATCCGGGCAGAGCGCGGAGCGGGGGAGAGTGGAGAGAGCGCCGGCAACAATGCCGCGGCAGAGGCACACAGATTGGCACTGACACGCTGACGGAGGGAGACCGACAGCACAGCTAGTCCTGTCCGGACGCCACCGGCAGAGACGGGACGTAAGAAATGTGCGGAGAACAAAAAACATCCCCCAGTCGTTCGCAGTAATGAATGAAGGGTTCTTCTGAGAGGGAAGCAAAAAAAGGAAAAACGGTCATGTTAGTGGAAGCGGAAGAAACGGTGTACAGCGGTGCCGCTACTTTGCTGTATTAGTTTCTGGAATCGGCCGGCCCCATCCTGAGCGACAACGTGAGGTGGCATTGGGAGTCGGTTTCGCTGAATGCTGGTGATCATCAGTTCCACCAGGGATGATGGCCCCGTGGGGAGTCGGTTCCACTGAATCTTCGGCTGTACCGCCCGACGGGTGATAATCGGACGGTGGGCCGGTGGGACGCAGTACACGGAACCACTAGCTACCAACACACGAAGCCTCCGTACACGGTGCAACATATCATCGATAAGAGAATGCGGATGTAGGGGAATCCGAGATTTGGAGGGTGGGAAGAAGTGAGGCACTGGGCAGCACATAGAGAAAAGCAGGCGGAGTGCCTGAAGACGGTGGGATGACAAATGACAGATATAAGGTAATAGGGGAAGTTGCCAGGACAGAAGACGCGTTGATATGGAAACGTGTTGGCAGCATACTAGAAACAAAAAACAGCCAATAAATGACAGCGTCGAAAAGGGACGGAAGACGTATGATAATAAACAGAAGGCAAATACGAGAGGACGAACCGAGTGCGGTAAATACCAGGCCAGCGTGGGGTGACAGCGCGACGCGGATGGATGGAGGACAACTGAAACACCCGGACAGATGTCTCGGGGCAAAAACTGACGTCTCACCGCAAACAACTCAACTGAGAGAGAGAGAGAGAGAGAGAGAGAGAGAGAGAGAGAGAGAGAGAGAGAGAGAGAGAGAGAGAGAGAGAGAGCGAGAGAGAGAGAGATGAGAGAGAATAGGAGAGGGAGAGGGAGAGGGAGAGGGAGGGAGAGAGAGAGAGAGAGAGAGAGAGAGAGAGAGAGAGAGAGAGAGAGAGAGAGAGAGAGAGAGAGAGAGAGAGTCAACACACCACCAGCGGTGTCACTGTTCAACTTCCGCCCCTCGCTAGCCGGATGTTATTTCTGGACCGAGCGATGCTCCAAATCGATAAAGCGGGCGAACCCCATCCCACTTGTTGGCCCTGTGCCGTAAGGCTTTCGAGCTCAAGTGACAAGTTTCATAAAGATCATGAATTAATCACATCACTTAGACCGTAAATACTAACCATCCCAGCGCTACAAAACACATACATAATTTCAAATGACAAACCCACCGAAGCGGGCGGAGGTTAGGAAAATTATCAGTGCTCCGCATGAGCTGTCTATGAGATAAATAAATTGCTGATAACGCACTCATGAGTATAACAGCAGAATTTACTCCCCATTAGACGAGCCCAGCAACAGCGTCAAATGTCTCCTCACCCGGACGCCGCCGGGGTCAAATTGCACAGGAAATGCCCCACATCCGGTCTGCAGCAATATCCGGTGTGCCGCTTCTCGGGAGCCGGCGCGGCGGGTCGTTGGGAGCAGCACGGAGTCGTTTGGACGTGACCGTCACCTCCGGTTCAGAGGGAAAGGGGAAGGGAAGGGAAGGGAGGGGAGGGGAGGGGAGGGGAGGGGAGGCTCCAGAGGGACCGTGCAGCGCAGTTCCATAGCACATTTATTCCAATGGGCGGCGAAACACGAGACAAAGGCGTCAGGGTAGACATAACTGCTCTCTAAACACATCCATTTGGAGTGACGTGTGGGCTCATAAGTTACCTCGTTACGGTGGCGCTGCTTGGTCTTTCCAGAGTCGTCAAATATCGAGTTAACTTACAGTAGCAATAAAGCTAAGAACTCGAGACCCGACCTGCATGTTGCAAAGGAGCCCAACCCATTTTCCGCACCAAAACATCCAAACGGGACTGAAATTCTCATTTCACACTCACTTCACGGAATTAATCCCAAATCAACGAGATGCCGTCCTGAATATAAATCCTCGACTTCCTGAGAAGCACGTAAATAATACGGATGGAGATGACAGACTGACGCTACCGTCAACTCACAAACGAACTGTCTGGTGAAACGATATTAGGCGCGCCATCCGGGTCTCTAGTTAGAGACGCGAAGCTTCCATTCGCTCTAAATTTATTATTACACCTGGGTGTTGACATGAAATGTTCAACACATTCAAGGCATCGTGAAGAGAGCCTCAGCTGTCATTCGTTGTTATATATCCTTTAGTAGCTGGTAACTTCGAGCACCAGCCGTTGTTCGGAGTTCATGAGTCCTGAGCAGTCAGATGCCCCTCATTTGTGGGCAGTGACCAGTGGTGACTCGTAAGTCCCATTAGCTAATTGTTATCTGTCCATCTGTCCGAAACCTGTCAGTCATCGGGAAACTGTCAGCCGTTAGTTTAACAGCTTTAATGAAAAACAATATCAAATTCTTATCTGTATTCAATGTAAACGCGTTTCGATTATTTCTTTATCAATACATTGATACAATACAGAATTATAATGATTACGAACACACACGATTCATAATCATTATATCTGTATTGTATCAATGTATTGATAAAGAAATCATCGAAACGCGTTTACATTGAATACAGATAAGAATTTGATATTGTTTTTCATTTAAGTAAACATTTGTCAAAATGAACAATATACAGTTTAACAGCTGTCAGTCATTACAAGTGTCTATCTCTTCGATGCTCATCAATCAGTCGCCAGCCGTTGCAGTGGTGAGCCCGCCGGTCCCGGCTGTTGGCCACCAGTCCCGCCCCGACCCCAGTCCACTTATCCACCCCTCCTCAACGCGCAGCAGAGTCTCTCAACTCCACCACGCCGAGCCGTGTCGTCTGCCAGCGCGCTAAAGCTACCGTGTCTCCCATCCCCATCTCCCTGCACCGCACTTGGCGAATACACTTGGCCGCGGCCCCACAGCACTCACCTGGACCATGTTATGGAACTCGGTCTGCAGCTTCCCCTCCACCAAGGTGAACAGATCAGCACAGCCATCAATCTTGTCATCACTGGGAGCTGCAGCGGCCTCTCCGGAGATAGGGTGAAGCCGGGGTAGCCGCGGAGTGCCGTCAGAGTGAGACTGGCCGGTAGGGAACAGCCACACCTCGCGGTTTGCCTCCTCGGCACTGCCGCCGCCGCCTAGAGCAGAGACCCGGTGGGTGTCAGAAGGAAAGAGCCACCACACCAGGGCTGGTGCACAGCCCACCACTTGCGGGGAGGCTGTCGTGTGAATAGTAGTGAGTAGGTAGTAGTGAGGACAGCGTACTCGGAGACGAAGTTTGACGTCAGTTGGCATGTAACATCTCTCAAGCTATTCGAAACCAGACAAATACAATGACTCCTATAAATTTCAGAACAGCCGGCACAGTACACTACGTAGCTACCGTTTTCTATCGCATTAAAAAGGACCACAAACTGAACAATCCACAAACCCGCATAAACAGGAAACACGTTTAAAACTAATCGTCTATATAACTGTGTGCGAAAAGGATACCATGATGGATCATTACAACAATACACATATTTTGACGCATATAGCGTTTGTCTATTGGGCTTGATCTGCGCTGGAAAGTCCACAGCGCACCGTGCGCTCCGCTTCTGGAGCGCAATTATCGAGTATGGTACACCGTCGGTTTCATTACTACCCGGTCGATGGCCGCCATTTCAGAAAACGAGGCCGTTCCACAACACAGCACGCCATAAATTAGATCGTGCCGATTGTATTAATCGAACTGGAACGAGCAGAATGAAGACAGCCAGCTCTCGGCGCGAAGGAATACGAGAGATGTTATAAATTAACAGCCGGCAGGAAAACAAAGATAAGTTAGCGCCTTGTCACGGAGAATATCCTTGAAAACATAGCGAACAGTTAATGGCCTAAAATTCGTGGGAACAAAGAGAGCCTGATGAAAACGGCGGAAGTTGTTTGAATAGGAACGATTTCATTGAAAGTTCCTCGTAAAGTTTCCAACACTGTCAACAGCGTCGCCTCACAAATAGCCTTTCTCCGCTTCCATTCGCTCTTTTAATTTTAAAAATGCAGCAACCACTTAAAAAGGAACAGGCAGGTTGCCATTCGCAGTGACGGCAGCACGGTCAAGCTTCTACTCCCGCTCCTAGATGGCAGCAGTGGTAGTAACCTGGAGAGGTAGACTGCACCGCACGACTTTGAGACGGCTGGGTGGCAAGTGGCCACACGGTTCGACCCATCACTTTCGCCACAGCGTAGAAGACTCGTCGTGGCCGTGGGAAATGGGCACTAGAAACCGTTACATCAAGGTTAAATTGGCAAACAGGCTAACTACGTGTTTTACACCATACGTAGATACTAGTGGTGTCAATCGGAACTTGAATCTTCGGAATTCCGATTTTGTCCAATGTCCAATTCAGAATTCGGTTGGACAATGGCCGCAGGCTTTGGACAACTTTGGACAATCGCTTGCTACACCTCAACATTTTTAAAAAGTAGTCGTGTTTAACATTGATTGGCTATTAGAAAGCTCAGCTTTCGATATGATTAACACTTTTGAGCTTGTAACGGTACATGAAAAGCAAATTAAATAACAGTGTTGAGTGTACACTATTGCGTAGGTGTCGGACATCTTTGGACAAATGGCTGGCTTGGACATTTTTGGACGGACAATCGACGTAAGCATTGGACATTGGACGGACTTTGGACATACGTTTTCTGAAATTGACACCACTAGTAGATACGTAGATTACATATAAAGAAACATATAAAGAAGCAGCTTTATGTTCCATGACACAATGGTGATGAGCAACGAACGGGAAAACTGGTCAACAAGCAATAAACAGCAAATTTCCACAGCCTTAGTGTCGCTCTATACAATTACCTCCGCAATTCGAACGAACGTTTATCTGCATTGACGCTAACGCGCCAAAGCTTCCAACTACACCTATGCGCACTGCTTCGCGCCTGCGTCTTAAAAACACCCAGTTTCTGCCACCAGGCCACAATCAGCAGCCGACTCACGTTCCTCCAAAGGTTCGGTCCGCTGGGGCAAACAGCGCTACCGTCCGGCCAACCACGCGCTGACCAAATGGGCCGCCCCGGGCCTGTGATTGCCAGCAGCCAAACACAGTTCCGGGTGGGCCGGCCCGGCGCCCCGGGCAGGCCACCAAACGGACCATAACAAGTCTTTGAAACGCACGCACACACGCACAAGCCAGAGCATACAGGGGATATTAGCTGGGTCCGAGCGGCAATCAATAAGGCGGAAATGTGAAAAGGTGGTAGGATGTAGACTTTCGTATGAATGCGAAATTGTGACTCAGAAGTGGTTCAGAGCTGTGTAAAAGCTGATTCCTATAAAATTGCACATGATACAGATACACATATGCTCTTAAAATGATGGTCAAGTTCGCATATTCAATACCAAATCGACGAAAGATTGGTTAGAAAATGTAAATATTAAACTGAAACACCTTGAAGATAACAAAAGCGTATACGAGTCCAACAAAGAGTCCCACGGCTATATCAACCCCTTCCTACTCGAGCCCGCGGACACCGGAGCCGTCACCGGCCCGGCGTCCAAGTGTCGCGTCGGTGGCGGCGGCCGGCCGGCGGCTGTCGCCCGGCCGCCGCCGGACGCCGTTTCTGTCTCCTGCTGACGGCGCTGTGTGCGGACGGCGGCTCGGCGGTCCGACCGGTGGAAGGGAGCAGCCGGCCGTACCGAGGTCGGTCAACGCTCACCGTCCGGCCGGCCGGCGCCGCCGCCGCCCGCCGGTGAGGCCGCCGCCCCTCTCCGAGACCCACAGCTCACCCCAGACCACACACCGGAGAGCTCCGGCAGCGCAGGGGCGGGCCGCGGGCCGTGCCGCCGGCAGACCGCCGAGCGAGCCGGCGGCCCGCCGACGGACGGTGTTAGGTTAGGTTACTGACGCCCCGCGTCGGAGGCGGGCGGCCGGACACCCAGCAGGAATTCTACACAAATACCATCAATGAAGTACACCACATATATAATCACCACAGACGACAGACAGATTGTAACCACAATCAAAAACATTATGGTTTGCCTGTACTCCTTTGAAAAGGAAAAACTCAGGATGCAGTGTTCTAGCAGTCCTAACGACAGAAAAAAAATCGAATGATGGAACGATCGAATCGCCAGCCTAGCCTTGAATGAAATACCTCGCCCTTCATCACCTAACCATCATCTCCATCCTCTCTCCAATACCGCGTCCACCGAGGCACTCAGGTCTGGCCGGCAGCCCCTGCATCAACTTCATACCGAGTCGCGAAACGACCGGCGCCCCCTCCCGGGGCCGGTTAAACTGCCGGGCTCGGGCGGCGCGGCGGTGGAACGACGCCGTCCGCCGGGCTGACTGCTCTATTTGTATGCTAACCTCGTCAGGCGGTCGGCGCGGAAGGCCAGGGCCAGTTTGGGGCGCCGCAGAGACGACCCGTAAACGGGACGTCAGCGCGGTGGCGCCGATGGCAATATCAGCTACCAGAGACGGAGCGTGGACGGGACGGGAGGGTGCCCTCAGGGGCCCACGAGCAGCTGAGATGGAACAGGCCTAAAACAGCTTAGTTAAATACAGAAGCAAACAACAGACTCAAACATGGAGTAAAAACAAAGCAGAAAATACATAGCACATGACGTTAAAATAGACAGCATGGCATTGAATATACAACACAGATACAAATAAAACATTCCTCCGCAGCACCACAACGCACGGAGAGCACAAAAAGTAGAACACACCTCAAACCGTGTTCCGAAGTAAGGCAACAGCTTTAGAGATACAAAATGGAAGAGCTCAGAGGAGCGGAGGCTGAGAGCCAAATGACAAGTCTTAGAGCGGACTAACGGCACAGACTGGCACACTGACCCTAATCAAGTTTGAAGGGCAGGGATATGTCGCAGTGGCCAAAAGCAAAGGGCGGAGATTAGTGTCCAGATGAAAGGAAATTAACTGAAGGGAAAACGAACTGGATGTGTTCAGCAAAAGTCAAAAGTAGCAAATCATCCTAAGCTCTAAGACATCTGTCAGGAAAATATATTTACTATCAGAATGTTTGCATCAATGTTAAGATGGAGGCTACGAAGCCGGCCGAATGCGGAAACCGGCGCCATCTGCTACGCATCTCTATCCACCCCCATCAAACGGCTCCATTGAGCGCGCGTGACAGCGCTGAAACCCAATCCCGATGGAATCCATTCATCCATCAGTACAAAGAGGCAATATCGGCTCTCCGACGGCGCCGGCACTACGCACCTCGCGCCTGGAGCTACGCTCAACGCTCACCAAAGAGCATACCTCAGACGCTCGACTGTGGCGTTCCTTCCCCTCCACTTCCCAACCAATGCAAGTCCCGGGGTGAAGCGCACTGCACAGCTTGTGTAAAAAGGCAGCGACGCCGACCGGACGGCCATAAACGGATTTGACGCTAAAATCGATACCGACGACGAACTAGTGCCAGAGTGCGCCTCTGCCCCCTCCCTCCCCCGCCCCGGCACTGGCCCAGCCAGAGTCGTTAATGAGGTCAGAATGGGCAGATAATTGGGGCACGTGGAGACGCAGTCAAGCCTGAGAGGGAGAGAGGCAACGCAAATGAACGGCACGCATCACCGCCAGAGCGAATCAGAAGATTTCGACGGGACCAGCCGGGAAATTCTCAATATTGGATCCTGTAGCGCATTCTGAGGGATGCCGAATGTCTTAGCGTAGACAGCAGGAGATATAGACGTGAAGACGGGACGTGAAGCAGAGACGGAAAGATGAGAGAAAGGTGGTAGTGAGGCGAGAGACTGGAGAGTAGAGATGAAAGAAGTAGTTGGGGATGATGAAAAAGAGGCGATGAAAATAAGGAACGAAGCGGTTTTGACATGTGGATCACGGAAAATGCAATATAATACTAAATATCGTACACAAATAAGATACACCTATATATCGAAGCAACTACAAAACACAAGGACAATGAGAATTACAACGCATGATCGGCCACCAGTTGCATTTCAGATTCCATTTTTCAGATTTTTTGGTGGCAAATCACACCTGATGGGGAAATATTTTAATCCTTAAAATATGAATGACTGACTTAACTTCATCTCTGAAAACAGTTTTATGTATTCCCAACAGCCAGTTCACATGTCACTTGACAGTTGATGCACCCA